CAATCATCATATAACCACAACTTTCAACATAATCAAATGAGAATACTATATTAATATTTTCTCAACAAATGAGATGGCAATTTCATAAGCATCAAGTATTCATCATTTCAATCCGTTCATGTAAGGGAACAATAACAGCATCATTATCCACAAATAATAACTCAAGACATCTCTGCAGAACGGCATTACAACTTCTACATACTTAATTATCTACATATTTACGTTAATTATGGAACGATAATTCATATAGTATCACACAGACCAAAGACAAACAACACTGTTTCCGACACAGACAAATCTTATCTCTAATATTTATCAATCTACGGAAACTACACCCATGATTCCATACCCTTCATGAAATCTATCATACCCCTGGTTATAGAATTGAACCCCACCCTTACCTTGGAATTTAGGCCAATCCTATGCTTCCGGTTCTGATTTATCTCCACGGTGGTTCTTCTGTCATAGCTTGCAATTCCTCCGATGATCAATCTTCTCTCAGCCACTCTCTTTCTTCCTTTACGGTTTATCTTTCGTAACCATGAAAACTGAATTGAGAGTACGAGGAATACCAAAATACATCGCTATAACTTCTCAACATTATCGTGGCCACGTTCCAAATTCTGCTTAATTGGATTCTGTTAGTATGACGAGCGTAACGAGCGTCACGAGCGTGAAGGCCATGACGGTCGTAATGGGTTCATGACGTTCGTAATGACCGTGACGACCGTCACATCAGCAAAATCTCATTTTTCCTAGACAGAACATCTCTTTAGCTTTCCAACGCTTCGAACGGGGGCTAAAACCGACTTACGGATCAAGAGATATGAATTTTCAAAGTTTTCCTAACACGACTACGGGATTTTGCACTTTAGCCCGAGAATTCGACCGATTCAATTCCTTTCTTCGCGACAAACACATACTCAAATACGAATACGACACGACGAGACACGAAAAAGTCATAATTAAATTTAATCGAAATAAAACGGGCGTTACATTGTATACAAGTCACGATCCATATAGGAGATTTATTTTTCTTAGCGTTATTGTGGATTATTCATTGTATGAACTCTTGCAATATTTGTCAAAATAAAAAGGAACACAACAGGCTCTAATGGGAAACCATTGAAGAATGAAGTAGGCAAAGCGAGAACGAACGCCGAACCATTATATATCCTGGTGTACTTTTTCCCTCTCTCTCTCACTTTTGCATTTAATTTTCGTAGGATATTGCATGCTTAGGTTTTTAATTCTTAGCGTAGTTCATCGTTTACTCAATTGGTAGCGATTTATTATGTATGGTTAGGTTTTGTTAGAATTGGTGCCTAATTGAGTAATAGTGGTGATTAAATTCTGAGAAACTATTGAGGTTAGAATTCATTGATATTGAATCGTTATGTAAACGCACCTCGTAAAATATATAACTAAATCAATTGATTACCTTTTATGTATCCTCGTAAAACCATCATTGGTATTTATGAATTGGTTAAGTGTTAATGTGATCAAGTTCCAACAAAAGTATAATATTCACATTTTTGCTTTTAACCTTCTGCGTGCATTTTTGAAAAACCTCTAATGATTCATTTTGGAGAATTGGTTAAATTTTAGAATTCTTTTTTAAAGGTTATATTCACCTCCTCCCTTAAACCATTTTTTTACTTCATATTCTCACCCCAACAATTAGCATCAAGAGTTGGTCTTTTGATAAAGTCTAATTGACTCTAAATGTTTGAGAGTATGAAAGACGGTGGCTCCAAAAGTTTGAGAGTCAGAGGATACCCCCATTGTAGAAGTAGATGAAGTTTCAACTTCATAATCACTCACTGAATCAACAGTCTTATCCTTTATCCTGATTAAAAACAGAAAATGCTTAAGGTAAAGTTTGAGTTAGAAGGGTACCTGGTTATGAGATATTGATGAAGCATAAGTAACGAAAAAGGACAAAAGCTTTAAGGGAAGCACTCAATCACTTCTAATGATACTCACAGGAAAGAAGGGGCGAATATGTTTCTTTGAAAAGTAACTATAAGCTTGAAATCTAAAGGTTATAAAAACTTCCAAATATCTAACCCACTCTACTTATAAGCAACAAGAGTTGAGAGGTCAATACCTGCTATGAAAATAAATCACAAGATCAACATCTAGATTGCCACTCATGGATACACGTCAGCTTGAAGTACACTTAAGCACTCTATAAATTGCGCCATACCCTAACTAGTTATGTCGTTCCACGTGTCAGAAAAGGGTGACGAATCGTTTCATTGATGGAGTCGCATTAAATGTGTTTGTTCCCCATTACATTTTCAAAAATTGATCCAAAGTGTTTTAACTTCATTTCACGTTGAATCACAACATATAGGTCGGTCAGTGATATTTAAGGCTTCCCCAGGTTTCTTCAATGTCCGACAAAGCTTGGGGCACCTGTTTTAGACTGGCCAAATGCCCAATAGACTAAGGCTCAATTCATCTCAAATTCACACTAGTCAACCCAAAATATAAAATAGTTCACATGTTAAGAGTAAAGTATAAACTCTGATCTCCACTTTCATTATAGTCATCTTGAATCTTAAACTGACTTGGATGTTTGAGTGCTAACCATGCAAGTCAACCCTATACCACCGTAAAAGATATCAGAGTCGCCGTTCAAGATCATCAATTATTCAATTGTCCTCATTTTTTATTCTTTTGTGGAGATAGAGCATCTATTTCTAGAATAGTAAATGAATTTTTTATTAAACTTTTGATCAGTCTAGAATAAAAACAAATGGCAAATTCTCTTTTTTTTTAACTCGATATTCAATCTTATGATTCGATTCATTCTGATGACCAATTTCAGTGTTGATTCCCATAATCTAATTTAAATCAAAGTTTTATTTTGTATGAATTAAGTTGATACAAAAATTATATGTATTTAACATAATTGTCACCTTAAAAATAGCATACTCTTATGTAAAGTTTAGAAGTTGCGGTTTGCATCTTCCACACGCAAGTTTATCAATAAGTTGGAAGAAGTTAATTAAAAAATACGACAATATTTATATTCCCGTGCACATAGCCAAATTGCAAAGTGATGTATATATATAATGCATAGAGTCGTACCTAGCTTTGACATATGGTTTTAAAGAAAATAAAACTTTTTGACTTTGAGAGATATGTATATATCTTTCAATTCTCATTATCGTCGGCTGAATCTTGCAACAAAACATCAAAAGGAAAAGACAAAGAATGATTCAGATATGGGAATTGTATTGAAGAAGACAGAATTAAACAGGATAATCAAATTTCAAATGTAGTGGTTGTATGGTGACGGTTTCATTATGTTTATGATTACGAAAATAATCATATCTATCATGACTAAAAGATAAAATTGAAAGTTTTTTTATAATACAAATTTATGGTGAGAGAATTGTGCCAAAATTCAAGGCAGAGAACCCTATCGTGATTCAACTTTTAAACCATGTTTTTTTTGGTTGGAAAATTCTCTATTTGCCACAAATTTGACTCGTGCATGCCATTGAAAGTGGAATTTGACTTTTGAAAATGATGAGAATTAAAAATTAGCTGACTCATTGTGATAAAGTCTTGGATTAGAAGTAAAACTTAGCAGCTAAGTGGGTTTATATTCATGCAAATGATGAGAAATTAATTGTCACTACCTACCTCAACCTACAAAAGTTTGATTATTGATGGCTGCAAAAAGTTAGCCGACTTAAGTTTGAATATAAGGTAAATCTTTAAAGCACAATTCACTTATTAATAAAATAAATAGTACTACTGTAATAAGCTGATCCAAATAGTAAAGAATTTAATAAGTAGTCAAAAGTTTGATTTCTAACTTAAAAGAAAGCACAACTTTAAATGTGCTGTATAGACATTAAGTGCGAAGATGCAAATTTCAACATGCATTTCACATGTTTATTTTTTATTTTAAGAGATTAATTATTATATATTATTAGTGTTTTTTTAGTTTGTCATCATATATTTACATTATTTTATAAATGATTTAATTAAAAGTCAAAGCCTTTTTAATATTCAAAGTTTATGATTAACTATTCTAGGAATAAAATTTTTTTATAATCGGTTCTCAAAAGCAATATGAGCTATGAGAAAGAGCAAGAATTCGGAGTGATTGGCTGAACTTACCCTAGCTCGAGCGACAGGGCGGTTGGTCAAGGAATACTGAAAAGCGATGTTTTCTATTTACATTCTCGTCTCTTAGAAAGAGCCGCAAAACGGTCGAACTAGACTGTAAAATTATTTTATATTGTCGATGTATTTTAATTAATATAATTTTTTAATAATAAATATTAAAAATAATAATTAATGTTACATTAAACACGTGTAAAAAAGAAATAAATTATTTATAAATTAAAAAAATAGATAAACTTCGATTTAATCCCTAAATTATAATTTTATTATCAATTTAGCTCATAAATTATTAAAATCAACTAAAATTTTAAACTATTATATGGGCCTACTTTTTAATTTTCAAAAATATATGCTAGTTGAGTTATATTTGTGTAAGTTTTTGGTCTACGTCAATCCATAGTAAAAACATTAACTTTAACATAAACATCAATCAACTCGAAACTTTTTGCAAGTAAAAACATTAACTTTGAGAAACTCCAATAAGCTAAAGCTAGTCCAAATCGTGCCATAAAATAGTATACATGAGATCATAAATTAAAACCTCAATCCTAGATTACAAACACATACAAAAATTAGGTTGAGTGAGTTTTCTGATTCATTTCTACTCACTCAAACCCTAACTACTACGATTTTACTGATATGCCAGAAATTATAAAGAAAAGATGTAAAATCTAGATCCATTTCTTATTAGATTTTTACATTGGCAACTAGCACGAAGGACAAACCTTGCTTTTCAAGGAACCGCAAACGATTTTAAAATCAATACATTACAGTGAAGAGTCATCTAGTTACCCTGATGATGTCTTTAGAGTCAGCAAGGTCATACCCAGCAGTTGTCTTTTCTAAACTGTTCAGGCCGGCGGAGGAACCAAAAGCCTTAGCCTATTTCTGTATCTTGCAATGCGCTGCGACCGTTCTTCCCTTAAACTACAAGCAGCATAAGTGACAATAACAATGTTAGTATCTTCCCTTAAACTACAAGCAGCATAAGTGACAATAACAATGTTAGTATTTGAAATTTATTTCGTCCTCAAACTTGGTCAGTCATTAAACTTTGGATTGACTCTTACAATTTAAATTTTGACTATCAAAACTACCAGGGTTTGCTAAATTCTGACTATTACAGGCTATCTGTATAAATTCCAAACTATACCGAGAGTTTGACTATTAAAACTACCGGTAGTTTTAATAGTCAAACTTTAAATTGAAAGAGTCAATCCAAAGTAGGACTCTTAACAGTTTCATCCAAGTAAATTATCGATACAAAACTATTGGTTTATGTTATGACATTTGGAAGAAGGCCAAAAGAATTTTAATCAAACGATGTTCAATGCTATTATTTTGTGGTTCGTAGTTTAGCTACATTTCGAATTATACCTCCCAACATATTTGAATAACTCTTGGTTTGCAATTGACAATGTCAATTTTCTTTTGGTTAGTGATTACAAAACACTTATCATGTGCATGGTGTTTAATTTTGATATAGTTCACATATATTTGGCATCTGTTCAGAACCAAATTTTGGTTAGTGATTACAAAACACTTATCATGTGCCCATCTGTTTACATGGTCTTTAATAGAGATTTGAAATCTGTTGATAACCAAATTTTGATTAATCCTAGTGTTCCCAGAGCAGAAGATATCATCAATCTTGGAGGTTATGCCAAGAATTGGCAGATTTGGCTCTGAAACAACTGAGAAGTTTGCGACCTCTCGTCGTGGTTAAGGCAGTGCCATGAATGTCAAGAACATGGTAGTTGCCAACAGTGCTCATATTGTAAACATATGAGGAATGCACAGAAAACGCGCTATCGGTAGATCAGAGTTCCTGAAAATCAGCAACTGTTGCTTAGTCCCTCCCGCGTCATTATTAACATTATTCATTTTGAGATGTGGGGTTCGAATTCCTGGTTGGGTTTTGGTATTTTGTCACTTGAGGTAATGATTTTTCAAGGTGTGTGTGGACCTCACTATATAGTGAGCTGTAGTGAGCCTTTCAAACCAGGCCCCTTTGGTGTTTGTTTTAAAACCTTAGATGGCTTTATTTAGCTTGCATACTAGAAATCTAGGTGGTTGTTGCATGCAACTTTCCTCTTCAAGCAACCTATTTAGGAAGGCATTTAGGAAGCGTTGTTGACATCCAATTGGGTGATATGCCATTGTGGGTGCAATTCTTCTTGTAACAGGTTTGACTACTGGAGAGAAAGTCTCTTAGAAGTTAAGTCCTTGTTGAAGATAAAAATCCCATTGAAACAAGCCTTGTTTTGTGATTTAGAATAGATCCGTCTGAATTTTGTTTTATTCTAAAGAGCCATTTACACCTAACCTATTGTAGGAAGAGAGGTGGGAGTTCAAGTATCGTTGTTAATGAGGGCACTGTAATTATTATGCATAATCGACTGCCACATTGGACTCTTGAGTGCCAGTTTGTAAGAAGTGGGTTCAAGTTCAGTTAGTAGAAGTGTGGGATGAAGTCTAGGTTGAATTATGCCATATTTTCCCCTAGTGGTAGTGAAGTGAGTGTTGTGAGAGTAAATTTTGTAAGGTTGAAGAGGGATAGCAGAGAAGCTATGCACAGTAGTAGAAGGAGTCAAGGACACAAGTGAAGTGGTTGAGGTAGTGTAGTCTGCACTGTGATGTGTAGGTAAAATTGAGGTGATGTTTTGGCAAGTTACGTTAGTAGGCTGATAGGAGAAGGAGAGTGTTCAGATTCAATTGATTGTGTACGTTCAGATGAATGTGTAAATGAGTGAGGTATTAGAGACTAGAATGAGATGATGATCGGGATAGGTATTTTGGGGGGAAATGAGGTAGTTGAACTGGTTGTGAGACATAAAGTTGCTGGAAACATGGTGGGGTATGGGAAACTGAGTTCATTGAGGTATTAGATAGACATTTGTAGCCCGTGTCGTTAGAGAAATAACCAAGAAATGGGCACTCCCTTGTGTGATATGCAAATTCGAAGGTCTTAAATGTGGATGGCAGGCACAACCAAAGGCTTTAAGGAATTTGTAGGTTGCAGCTGATCAATGGTGTAGAGTTCATCATTCCCAAGAGATCCTTGCAGTAGAACTTAAGAGGTATGCATCAAAATGAAACTCAAGAAAACTAGATTGTCCTTAACAAATTGGCTCACAAAAATTAATTTCTTGGTGATATTAGGAACCAATAACAGGTTATGTAGAGTGAGAGTGGTGTGTGTTTTGGTGAGGAATGAAAAGTTGTGAATCCAATAGAGGTGATAGGCAAAATCTTATCCATTTCCAAGCTTACTTGATCTACTCCAGATACAAGAATACTTTCTAAGAAATTACCAGAACTATGAGTGACATGATGAGTGTCTCCTGAGTCAGGGTACCACCGACAAGGTGAAAATTAAGAGTTATTAACTTCAATTCCAGTGAGATAAGCTTGAGGTTGTTTAGATTGGAACTAAGGTGTAGGTAGCGAGGAAGATCTAGGAGGAAACCAAAGAGGAATTCCACGCCATTGAGGTGGATCAGAAAAAGCTAACTTGGATTTAATATGTTGAGGTGGAAAATAAGATTAGTTGTAGGATTTAACCATTTAATGTGTTGTGCTACTTATTGGAGAAGTTAGGTTGAGGTGGAAAATAAGAATAGTTGTAGGATTTAACCATTGACTAGATGATGGAGGTTGTGTGGAGGGGCGGTGGTAATGAATGCTTGCATCATGACCATTCTTAAAGCAGGTTTAACATTGATCACAAAACCTGCCACCATTTTTTCCACCACATCCTCGAAAACTACCACTTAGACATCCACAAGCACCTGAAAATCCATTGAATTGATGTTGAGACTTCTGAATGGACTGTTGAGATTGAGATTCCTGAGAGCTGACCGAATCAGGATGAGACACTGATGAAGACAAACCTTAAGTAAGATTCACTGAGAGGTTCCGTGAGTCACCTTAATGAATCGTTCAAGCATAGCTTCATGCAAAATCAGTATTGTTTCTGCAACAGACATAGGACACATGTCATCACAGTACTGAATGATTGACGTTAGAGCCTTGATGCTCAAGTAGTCAAGTCCATTAAGAGCTGCTTCAAGTTGATCTCGACACGAAATTGGATCACCAATTGATCCGAGTATATCAGCAATTTGCCGAATTCGTCCAAGAAATTGAGAAGTTTATTTGCTCCTGTTGTAATAGATTTCAATCCATAACGCAACGGACGCAACTTTCCGTTGATTTGAGTTTTCAGAAATTGATAAATGGTGGTCCATACTTTGTGTGTTTGAACGCAAAGTATGGCCCAACATTGATCAATTTATAGGAATTGAGAGAATAGTATTTAACTGATAGAAACTAGTTCAACTTTTTAGGAAATGGCTTATTGATATCTATAGGACAGTGTAACAAACTCGGTTAGTTACAGCTATGCTGACTCAGCATAGACTTTGCTGTAACTGCATTCTAAACAGTTCTAAACAATACTAATCCGTTTGCTCAAGACAAGTAAAGCAGGTACAGTTGTAACTAATCAGGCAGGAATCAGGATCTATCTCAAGGGCAGAGGACATATTTCATCTTTTGGACCAGGCAAGAAGGACAAAAAATTTGACTGATGGGATGAAGAAGACCTTGATAATGTCTTGGTTATGGGATTCCATGAAACCCACACCAATCATACCTGCATGTTCTTCAAAATAGCCAAAGACATTTGGGACCGCATGAGTCGTACCTATTCAAAGGTCAGTGACACTGCCCAATTATATCACGAAAAAAGTGAAAACAGCAGCTAAACATGGGGAACGGATCAGTAACTGAGAATGCCAACCCATTTCCGAGTATGTGGCAAGATACTGATGACTATTGTGTGTTCAATATGACTCATTACATATTGCATCTGATCCAATCTTCCATGAGCAGAGTAAAACCAAAGATTGAATGACACTCTGTAAGAAGGATTCTTTCTAGGGAGTCACATGCTTCAGAATTTCTAATGAACAGCTAGCGAATATTTTCCTCAAATATGTTCCAAAATTGATGCATATGACATAGCTTGAGAGAGACTGTTGCGATGATCAAGTTGTTGAAAATAAAATAACATTTCAATTACTCTTTAAAAGTAGCTTAGGTTCATTATAAAGTTAGTACAACAAGTGATAGCTTATTTACTTACTCCATCTGGACAGCTTTACTAACCATGTAAATCAGACGCATACATAAAGCTGCCCTGCTAACTTTTAATTACCACCGGAGCAATTCAGATGTTTCAATGTAATGCGGATTCACAATTTCATATAATCCCAAATGGTTAATCAATAAGATTCAGTAGGTAGATGTGTCACAATTTATAATGTGTTGCCAATCCAGCATGCAATATGTTCTGACCATAAATCATAAGATGAAGAATAAATAAAGAAGGTGTTAAAAATAAACTTACCGTGCTCTGACCCTTTTCGCACGCTTGATATGTCTCTTCAATAGATCTTGTGTTGATAAGTGCTCAACAGATTTCTCATCCTGCAACCAGAGATATGCATCAACTCAAAGGTCATGGAATAATGGGATAAAGACATAACATAATAGAATTAAAACCAAAGAACTCTAGTTTCAAAGGAAATGGTTATCCAATAAAACTTGATTCAACACATTATATCAAAGAAAGGGCTATTTTCCACGTGTTAATAATATCCTATTTTCAATCTACCATATACCTCTAAGAATTTTTTAATAGACTGCCTGTATTTAAGTAGATTAGGAAAATCTAAATAATTGAAGTAGAATGTTTAAATGAAAAGGCTCAGAGATAATTTCTCAAGCAATTTGCAAATATAGTATCAAGTCCATGTATTTCATTTTCACAAATGACTTTAATAGGCAGTTAACCAGAAAACCGAACCTCTTCTTGCTCATCGTCATCATTTTCACCATCTTTCTTGTTTGAGGTACAGGTATCCACGATAGATGCAGGCGATGGTTTGGGAAGTGCCATCGTTGCATCTTTCTGTGCTGGCTGTCAAGTATAATGAAACAAAAATTATACATAAATAAATAAAAAGCCAAATAACATATCAAAATAAGCAGAGATGCATATAAAATATTCAGCCCCAAGAAGTAAGTCCATAACATAACATAGTAAATCTTAGCATGGCACTATGAGAAACTTACAAAGAAAGAAAGCATAATTGCCATAAATAGTTGCAACCAAGTTTGAGAAGATCAGTTAGAAAAAAGTTAGAGGTTTCCATTAATGTTATTAGAAAACCAAATAGCATATAGATCATCGCAACAAACCTTTGCCTAAAACTCAGAATAAAACCTAGTATACTGCATCCGAAGAAAAAACCAAGGGCATCAACAAAAACTGCAATAAACCTTGAGGCCTACTTTATTTATAGCCCACTTAGGATTACCACTTCAGCATGCAAAAGTTATATTTTGGTGACAAAGCTTCCCGTTTAATAATCTTAACAGATTATTTCAGATGATATGGATCAAAATAAGTAAATTCTAGCATAATTTCATTAGAATCTAACTAACTGGTCTAGGATAGCTATATCCTAGCCAGTGTTGCCGATGGCTGTTTATGGCGGCAAGCCAAAAATCCACCATTACCATATAGAAGATAGCATAACGGCAAAAGACAGAAGCATGGCAGACAAATTTAAAAAGAGAACAAGGTGGACAGTTGAGAGAGAAGAGGGTAAACTGATAAAGTAACCATTTTTTAGGGCTTGTGAGAGTTTTAGCCCATTTTTGGCCTGGGATAAGGTCACATGACCCAAGCCACATTTTTTTGTTTTTACAAAAAAAAAAATGCCTTTTCCGCTTTTCCACCGCACCGCCATGTCTGTTACCTTCATGGTGGTCGCAATGCCACCCCTTTTCTATGGAAGTGTGTTGAAATACCACCCCAAAAATCAGCCATAGCGCTACCATGGCCGATATTAAACAACACTGATGCTAGCCATGGTTTTAGAACCCCAACTTCATAGTCAAGTTAAAATTGAAGCATGCCCATACACCACTGATTTAAACCCTATTGCAATGCATTATGCATTACTAGTGGAAGCATTGCATCCCACAGGAAAAGAAACTGCTTAGTTCTAATTCTTAAATATTTACTAGTTTCTTTGATTTCAAAAATGCTAATCAATAGAAAATATAACACATTTGCAATGAAGTCAAACTTATGCAAATAAAGCTCGACTTCATTGAAAATTGCGAACACGTAATTATTGTATAAAGAACAAGATGCAATCAAACATTTATCAAGCCTTCTCAACATGAACTTATAGATTAGCAATAATTTGAGTGCACAACATCTAAAATGTGAGTTCAATTATAGCAAAGGCTTGGCAATAGTTGATGTTGCTTTCATAAATCAGCAGAGCATGTAAGTATCATTTCATCAAGATCATACTAGACTAACAGAATAATATAGGATGCCAATATTACATGCTTTAATTCAGAAGGGGGTACCTGGCTTTCGTCATTTACACCATTTCTCAACCATGACCTACAGAGTGCATATAGAGAAGCATCCTCGGTTATTCTGACCTAAATTTTTTGAAATACAACATGATTAATTAACATAATAAAAAATGAAAAATATCACAAGAGAAAGCAGAAATATTAAAAATCCATTGAGCTTAACATTTATGACTTGTTTGTTTTAAGTTTTGATAGAATTAATATAAAAACTAGATTGACTTGCAAGGATAACAATAGAGGCTGAAATCCCATATTCCCAATCACGTTGGCACCTCAAAGTCTACCCAATCATCAGCAGCAGACCAAATCATCATTGAAAATAAGCAAAAGCACAAGAGCAAGGGGGACATAAATTGAAACCCGCAGAAAAAACGGATAGAAGTAATTTTGAAGTAAAAAAACTGGTAATAAGAGAATTAATGCTAAAAAAGTGTTTGGAAATGATATTTGAAAAGTGGGTTAGGAAGTTTTTTTTTTCAAATGGGAAAGTAGAATAGCTTTTGAAGGATGAATATATGTTTTCTTCTTTAAAAATTGTGTGCTTCCTCACATTTATAATAAATTATATTGGCCCAAGAAATGTAAAATGTTACTTTTCTCAAAATCAAACCTAACTACTATATAATTTAAGTTGTAAGAATCAAAAATATTGCATAACAAGTTGAGCTAGAATTCCCAACTTAATAAATATCTGCAATCTATTAATATACTTCCATGTCATAACACACACAAAAGGGAAAAGAATTTTACACGTGAAATTGCAAACTAAACACAGATTAGTTCATTTACATATCAACTGTAATTGTAAGATATAAACTTTGTTATGGGTGAGAAGTGAGAGAATTAGGGCTCACTTTTCGGTCTCTAACAACAGTTAGTGTGTCATCTCTGCTTCTTTCCCTAAGAAACACAACAGAAACATCAATCCAACACATAACCAAAAGAAAACGTAAAAAAAAACACTGAATCGAATACACCACACATCACCCAAAGAAATTTACCTCGCACTTGCATCCTTATGACCATTGACATCAGAAACCGCAGACCTACCAGTAACCTAAAACAAAACCCAAAGAAAAATCCATTGAAAAAAAATCACATAAAAATTCCAGATCAAAATAACAGCAAGAACAAGAAACGCTTGCAAACCGCAAATACTCTAGAATTCACCACCCACATACATTGAATCCAATTTATACACAATCAAATATAATTAAACCGCACCTTATAACAAAAAGGAAAAATCATAATCATAATCATCATTTAATTCCAAATTTTCGTTCTCCATTTTACCCTTCACCTAATCCAATTTTCACACAATTCAAAAAATTAATAAGAAAAAAAAGCTTCAAAGTCGAAAGTAACAAAACCTTGAGGTGTCCTTTAGCAGAAGGCGAAGGAGTAGCAGCAGCAAGATGAGGAAACTGCACGTGAGAGAGAGGTCTAGTCACGTGCAAGGCGTGACTTAGATAATCCAAATTCATACCGCGAACACCACCTCCGTGAGAATACAAAAGCGGCGGAGGAGGCGGAGGCGGATAACCGCCAACAGCGTGATTAACGGCGGCGCGCGAGGGAGAAGGGAACGGGTAATGAAATGGAATTGGAGTACGAAGAGGAAGGGTTTGTTGTTGTTGCTGTTGTTGTTGATGTGAATGCGATGGGTAGTGATGGTGCGGTTTCGAGTTTGGATTTGGGAATGGCGAAATAGGTCTTGACGTTGTAGCGGTTGTGGCGGTTGCAGCTGGATCTAACGACATCGTTTTACGATCTTGAAGATGAAAATTTTGTGAGAAGCATTGGAGTATCGATTGTGTTGTTATTTTATTGTGTGAAGACGGGAGGAAAAAAGGAGGGAAAGGAAAATAATTAATAAAAGAGAGAAAGAAAAGAAAAAGGAAAAAAGCATGGTTGGGTTTTGAATTTCTCGATGTGGGGCCCGAAGAAAAGTAACGTAAGTGTTACTAGTAGTAATGAAAGTAGTGAATATTCATGGCTAAAAATGAGTAAATAATAATAAATCAAGATTAAGTTTAGAGAAAATGTTTTGAGCGTTATGTTACTGGTGGTAATGATGGTTGGATGAGTTTGAATATTTTGGTGTTAAAATTTAAAATGGAAATGATGGAGATATACGTTTTAAGTATTGGGATTTAATGTTAAATTACGTTTCATGGAGTTTAAATTTGGTTTTTTTGGCAAGGTAATTAAAATTGCAAGCATAAAGTACGTGTTATTGTTATTATATGGCCATTAGCATTTCATCTCAAAAAATATATACATGATGTATTTAGATGGAAAAAAAAAAGTAAATGTTGAATTTATGACTTGAAAATAGATAGGAAAAGAGTCGGTTTGAAAAAAACATCTTTTCGACAACATGTATTTAATGGATGTGTAGGTATTCATATTAGGATCGGTTATTTGCAGTCTTAATAAAAATTTGTATGAGAATCGTGTGTTGCACGGGTTGTGCAAGATAAAAAAATATATATTTAATAAATATGATATAGTTATATAGTTAATAAATATATATGTATAAATGTACATCAATTAAGAGGGAACAGGTAAATTAGGTTAGAAATAATTTATATTTTATAAAATTTAGTGATTAAACTTTATTAGAGGGTAATTTAATACTTTAGTATGTTGCGTTTGTGGTCCTAGTTTTCTACGTATAAATAGACTAATGGTAGATGTCATTTTGTAATTCTTTCTTACAACTTTTGTAGCCGTCATTTGCAGAATAGAAATATATCCTCTCATTCTATTTCTTTTCTTTTAACCTTGTGAACCAACAATTGGTATCTAGAGCTCTGATTCGGATCCATGGGAAACACGAGTGAAACGGCGAGGCACTGCGTGGTTGATTTCGTTTCTTGAATTCGTGTTGAATCTTGAACGGAATTGTAACAGAATCACATTTTTTGATTTTGCGGGATTGGGAAACACTGCGTTTGGTGAGATCTGAGTGATTGCACAAGGTTGAAGATGAACGGAAACGGTGGTCTGAGCACTAAGCTTCCAGTGTTTGATGGAAAAAACTGGACTCGTTGGATGATTCAGATGTGTATATTGTTCGGTGCTCAAGATGTGTTTGATCATGTCATTGAAGATTACGTTCCAGTAGCAGCAAATGCAACAGAGGAACAAAAGAGCGCGCAGAAAGATATGAGGAAGAAAGATCAGAAAGCATTGTTTTACATACATCAGTGTGTGGATGCAAATGTATTTGAGAAAATCATTGATTCAACGACGGTGATGGCTGCGTGGGATACACTTGTCAGGTGTTATGGTGGTGACGCGTCAGTGAAGAAGGTGAAGTTTCAGTCCCTACGAAAGCAGTATGAGAATCTCAACATGAAAAACAATGAGAAGGTATCTGAGTACATCTCCAGAGTGATTATGATCACTAATGAGATGAAAGCTTGCGGAGAAGCCCTTTTTGAATAAGTAATCATTGAGAAGGTATTGAGATCCCTTACCCTCAATTTGATTACATTGTGATAGCAATATAACAATCTAAAGATCTGAGCACCATGAGAAATGAAGAGTTGCAAAGTAGTCTAGAGGCACGAGAGTTTTGCTTGACTAAGAGAACTTCTGAAAAGGAAGTAGAGCAACAGGCTCTGAAAACAGTTTTTGGTAAGAAGCATCAGAAACAGTCTTGGTCAGAAGCCATGAGAATATTTGATGGTGTTCAGAAGTCAGAAACCTCAACTTCTGATAGGCAGAAGAATGCTCATAAGGGAAAAGAGAGTTATGACAAGAAGAATATCCAATGCTACTGTTGTAAGAAGTTTGGTCATTTTACTGCTGATTGTTGGTCAAACAAGGAAAGGAAGTCAAAAGAAGCAAATATAGCCAAAAGTTCTGATGATGAATCTGTGCTACTGATGACTTCTGAATCTGATGATACGGATTTGACAGACTGGTAGTATATGGACACTAGCTGCTCAAATCATCTTACTGGAAATAAGAAATGGCTAGTTGACTTTGACTCTGGTAAAAGGACAAAGATCAAATATGTTGATGATAAATACCTCAACGATGAAGGTATGGGAAATGTCAGAGTCGTTTTGAACAATGGGAAAACAACATTTATTCAAAAAGTGTGGTATGTGCTTGGCATGAAAAGCAATCTGATGACTATGGGGTAACTAATTGAGAAAGGTTTTTCAATTACCATGAAGGACAATCTTCTGAAGTTGTATGACTGTAATTAGAAGTTGATTATGGAGTCAGAACAGGGAAGGAATAGAATATTCAAGGTGAATGTAAGAACTGTAGACTCTGAATGTCTTAGTGCAACAATTGTTGTGAAGGAAAGTGAGTTGTGGCACAAAAGATTTGGTCATCTGAATTTCAGAAGCTTAGAGCATCTGAATTCGAAGAAGCTGGTATATTGAATTCCTACAACTAAGAAGCCTAAGAATTCATGCAAAGTGTGCATAGAAGGAAAGCAACCAAGATTGCCATTTGCTTTAGAGGTAGCTCCAAGAGCAAAGCATGCCTTGGGAGTAGTGCATTCTGATATGTATCGTCCATTTCCAATAGCATCGATTGGAGGGAATAAATATTTCGTGTCATTTGTTGATAAATTCACAAGAATGACATGGGTATCCCTTATAACGTTCAAACATGAAGTGTTTGTTAAATTCAAGAAGTTAAGAATGAAGGATAAGAATCAGAGTGGTCAGACTCTGAAGATTCTCAGAACCGATGGTGGAGGTGAGTATAACTCCACTGAGTTCAGAAAGTTCTGTGAGGGGAATGGAATTGAGCATGAGGTTGCTGCTCCTTATACTCCTCAACATAATGGTCTTGCTGAGAGAAGAAGTCGTACTTTGTTTGATATGGCGAGAAGTATGTTGAAGGATAAGAAGCTTCCTCATACCTTATGGGGAAAAGTTGTTGCCACCGCAGCATATGTGCTCAACATATATCCAACGAAGAAGCTGAAGGAAATAGTTCATATTCAGAAGTGGACTGGAGATAAGCAAAGTGTTAGCCATTTGAAGGTATTTTGTTCTGTATGCTACAAACATATTCTAGAAGCCAGAAGACAGAAGCTGGATGATAGAGCAAAGTAACGTTATTAATGGGATACCACGGTACAGATGCATACAAGCTCTATTGTCCATAAACTAATAAAGTTGAATTCAGCAGAGACATCATTGTAAAGGAATCAGAAACTTGGGATTGGAACAAGTCTCAATCAAACTCTGATGTGAAAACTTTTGAAAAGGAAGTTCAGAATTAGAAGTTTCTAAAGATGAGTCAAAAACTGGAGAAGATTCTGAAGCTGGAGTAGACTCTGATGGTAATTCTGACTCTGAAAGAGACTTAGAAGGTGAAGATGATTCAGATTCAGATTCTGGGAATATTCCAGACTCTGAAGGTGGTCAAGGTTCTGGAGGAGGTCAAACTTCTGAACCAAGAGCTTATGAAGGATAAGCTTCTGAAGATATAACATATGGAGTTCAAGCATCTGAAGGAGATTCTGAACAAGGTCAGAGGCTACAAAGAATCAGAAACATTTCGAGAAGATTTATAGAGTTTGACATGCTACAAGACACTTAATTAGATTTTGAAGGAGAAGTTATTTAGTGTGCCATGTTAGTAGAATCTGAACCCGTAAGCAAGGAAGAGGCTTTTGAGAATAAAGTATGGTTGAAGGCCATAAAAGAATAGCTTTATGCCATAGAGAGGAACAAGACTTGGAAGCTGGCAGAAGTTCCAAAGGACAAGAAAGCCATCAGCGTCAGATGGGTTTTTAAGCAGAAGCTAAAGTTAGGTGGATCAATTGGCAAACACAAAGCAAGGTTAGTAGCAAGAGGATTTTTGCAGAAACTCGGGCTGAATTATTCTAAAGTGTTTGCACTTGTAGCGAGGCATGAAGCAATCAGACTGGTGATTGCAATAGCTGCTAACAGAAATTGGCCTCTGATGCATTTAGATGTGAAATTTGCATTTCTGAATGGTCCAATACAAGAAGAGGTATACGTGTCACAACCTCCTGGATTTGTTAAAAAGAATCAGGAAGGGATGGTGTACAAATTACATAAAGCTTTGTATGGATTGAAGCAAGCGCCCAGAGCCTGGAATCTAAAGATTGAATCATTTTTCAAGGAGCAGAGGGTTCAGAAGTGTGAGATGGAGTATGATGTTTATGTTCATCATACTTCTGAAGGCAATATAATTCTGGTGTGTTTGTATGTTGATGACGCACTGCTGACAGGGAGTTCTGAATAAGAATAGCTAAGTTCAAGAAGGTGTTGATGAATGAGTTTGAAATGACTAATCTCAGAAAAATGACCTATTTTCTAGGGATAAAGTTTATATACTGTGAGACGGGTATCATTTTGCATCAGCTGAAGTATGAACTTAAGCTTCTAAATAGATTTAAGTTGCAGAACTGTAAGGCTGCTATCACACATGTAGATACAAATCAAAAACTAGATTCTGATTCTGATGGTGAGGATGTAGATGCTACAACCTTCAAACATTTGGTTAGTTCTCTGAGATATCTGTGTAATACCAGACCTGATATCTGCTATGCAGATGGAATGGTTAGTAGGTTCATGAGTAAACCTAAGTGGTCTCATTACCAAGCTGTTATTAGAATTCTGAAATATATCAAGGGAACTCTAAAGTATGGAGTGTTATTCCCTTCTGGAAGAAATATTAAATTAGAACTTCTGAGTTATTCAGATTCTGATTAGTGTGGAGATAAAGTTGACAAAAAAAGTACTTATGG